ATCTGAACCGGGGTTACAGATGCACAGTCCTGAACCTGGCCTTTATACGAGTTCTGGGGATCTGAACCGGGGTTACAGATGCACAGTCCTGAACCTGGCCTTTATACGAGTTCTGGGGATCTGAACTCCAGCCCTCAACCTTGCTAGGCCAGTGCTTTGTCTCTCCACTGAGCAATGTCCTCATTGTGCATGCTCGCCCTTCCTTCCTCCCTTCCTTCCTTCCCTCCCTCCCTCCTTCCTTCCTTCCTTCCCTCCTTCCTTTCTCTCTAGCCTCATCTTTTCTTTATGTATACAGTGTTCTGCCTGCATATCTGTGCACCAGAAGAGGGCACCAGATCTAACTACAGATGGTTGTGAGCCACCATGTGGTTGCTGGGAATTGAACTCAGGACCTCTGGAAGAATAGTCAGAGCTCTTAACCTCTGAGCCATCTCTCCAGCCCCCCCCCGCCTTTTTGAGACTTTTTTATTTTATTTTACATGCATATGCACCCTGTGTGTTCAGGCACCTGCAGAGGCCAGAAGAAGGCATTAGATTCCTTAGAGCCCGAGCTATAGGAGGTTGTGAGCCACCTGAGGGTGGTGCTGCCACTGAACCCAGGTTTTTTGTAATAGTAGCAACTATTTTTGTTGTTGTTGTTTTGTTTAGTTTCTTTGAGACAAGGTTTCTCTGGGTAACCCTGGCTGTCCTGGAACCCATTCTGTAGCCCAGGCTGGTCTTGAACTCAGAGATCCCTCTGACTCTGTCTCCTGAGTGCTGGATCTATGGCACGTGCTACCATCACCTGTCAGTAGCAAGTATTCTTAACCACTGAGCCATCTCTCTAGCCTCTTCTTTACTATTATTATTATTATTATTATTATTATTAATTTACACACAAGCACAGTGTGTGTGTGTATGTGTGTGTGTATGTGTGTGTGTGTGTGTGTGTGTGTGTGTGTCTGAGTGTCCACAGAGGCCAGAAGACAGTGTCAGATTCCCTGGAGCTGGAGTTACAGGCAGTGATAAGCCATCAATATGCATGCTGAGAACTAAACGTGGATTCCTCTGGAAGAGCAGGAAGTACTTTTAAACCATCTCTTCAGTTCTGTCTGTCTGTCTGTCTCTCTTTCTCCCTCTCATTTTTTTCATCTTTAGACAGTATCATGTATCCCAGGCTAGCCTCAAACCCGAGGATAACCCTGCATTCCTGACCCTCCAGCCTGCACCTCTGGTGTGCTGAGATTATAGTCATGCAGCCTCATCCTTGTTTTATTTAAACACTTATTTCAAAAAGAAGCTTAAAAAAAACAAAACTACTCTTAAACCAGATGTGGTATGTACCTGTAATGCCCACACTCCAGAGTGGAGAGGCAGGAGGATTGGAGTTTGAAGCAAACCTGAGTTTTAAAAGTGAGCACCCTTTGCTGGGTGGTGGTAGCGGCGGCGGCGGCGGCGGCGGCGGCGGCGGCGGCGGC